GCTAGGCACTTGTGTTCCATCATGTTGAGTTCAATCTTAAAGGTACTATTATAAGACATTGGATCCTTCAAGATCAACCTACCACCTGCGTCGAAAACTCTCATCATCTTGTCTTTGATCAACACCTTGTAGTTCTTTTCAACTAGTTGTCCTATACTGAGCAAATTACTCTTCATGCCTGGTATGTATAACACATTAGAAGTTGTTGACCTCTTGCCATCTTTCCTCATAATCAAAACATCGCCAGTACCTTCAGCTGCTAGAGTATTGTCATTTATAAATTTCACCATGTTCTTCGACGAGGGCTTCATGTTGATAAACCAATCTTTTCTTCCATTCATGTGTGATGAACATCCTGAGTCCAACTACCACTGGCCCTGAAATCTCTATTCGTCTCTTGTTGTGACCATTAGCAACATCTCTTCTTCTTCATGCTTTGCCATCTTTGCATTAGTTTCTTGATTCTTCTTCTTTTCTCGACATTCACTAAAATAGTGACCATACTTCTGACAATTGAAACACTGAATGTGACTTTTGTTAGGCTTTAGTCCACCACCTCTTCCTCTACCTGCAGCACCACCTCTTTGGTTGCCTTGGTTCCAAGGTTTTCTTTGATTCGACTAGTTTCCTTCCTGCTGATTTCGACCAGTCGAATTGTTGTAGCCTCCTCTACCTTTGTTGTCATTCCAACTTCCTTTGCCTTTCCTTTCCTTTTTTGATCGCGCTTACAAATTCATATCACTCTTCAACTTTTCTGCAGCTCTCTCAGCCATACTCCGTTCACGAGACTCAAGCATCCCTTGAAGCTCTTCCTTCGTCAATGTTGACAAGTCTTTCGACTCTTCTATGACTACTACCACATGGTCGAACTTTGGAGCTAACGACCTCAAGATCTTTGCAACAACTGATCTTGATGTCAACACTTCTTCACATACCTTGATTTGATTCACCAACGTTATAACTCTAGTGAAGAAATATGTTATACTTTCACTTTCTTCCATCTAAATCAATTCATATATTCTCTTGTGACTTTGTAACCTCACCTCTTTCACCTTTTCTGCGCCTCCAAACGGCTTTTCAAAAATCTCCCACGATTCCTTCGCTGATTCTACATCACCAACCTTTTCAAAACTATCTAGATCTATATATTGATGGATTATAAAGAGAGCTTTATAATCTTTCTTCTTCAATTCTTTGAATGCAACCTTTTCTTGATCCGTCACATTTTCTGCAAGCGGTGCTACTTCTCCCTTCACAAGATCCCAAAGATCTTGATAACAGAAAACAACCTTAATCTGCTTGCACCAATTCTCATGGTTATCTTTCGTGAGAATTGGAAGGTTTGCCGAAAAGTAAATTTAGAAAGAAAGAAAATAAACGTTGGAGAATAAGAAGATGAACAACTTTCTGCAGATAACTCTCTGTCCACAAACTGTGAAAATTCTGTTATTTCACTTGCAACTGCAAACTGTCAATTATAAAATATGATGAGATGAGATGAGATGTTATGTTTACAATAAACTACATATTTAACAGTTTTGGTATATATGTTGAGTTGTTAATTTATCTGTTTATTTATAAGTTTTTTTATGTAATTTAAAAATAAGCTGACTAAGAAATAATTAATAAGTTTAGAAAACTATACTTTTTTTACTGGGTATCCTCGCACAATGGTAGAGATTGATTCTTCAAATAGAATAGAACCTTTAAAAGAACAAAATTTTTTTTAACACTACTGTGTGTTAGTGTTGGGTTTGAATTTGAACCCATAATTTAAATGTCATTTAAATTATATTGTAAAAGTTATATTTAATTATTATTTATATTATGATTAATAGTAAATTATTATTAGTAAATGGCATATCAACTAATGAGTATAGTAGTCCCAACTTTTTTTTTATAATATTAATGATAAATATAATGTTTTTAATGAGTCATTTTTCAATGTTGATAATAATGATAAATTATTTGAAATAATTTTTTTATAAGAAATAAAGTCAAATATTAATAATAGGATAATAGTGAATAGAAAATTAATTATTAATTGTAGAAAAAAAATCATGTGCTTTTACATTATTAGGGTTGACAATGAACCGAACAAACTCGAAAATAATTTGGAAGTCGATTCGACAATTAATTCGTTGAACTTGATTCATGAACCTAATGAACTGAAAATAAACGAAAAATTAAGTTTGTTAACTAAATGAATTGAACTTGAACTATATATAGTTCGATTCTTTAGACTTATGAGTTAACTCGACTATATATGAGAATGATTATATTGTGTTTAAGAGTAGGTTTAAAGATTTAATATAAATTTTAACCTTATATTTTATATTAATCTAATGATTTTAATTGATAATTTATATTCTCAAGTTCGCAAAATATTTCTAAAAATAATTATACAAATAAAACTAGCATCATATAAATTAATTAATTTTTGAATTAATAGATTTTTAAGACAAAATTAAATTTCAATCTGATAAATTTTATTTTATTTTATTTTAATACTTTATTTTTAAAATAATATTAATTTAAAATGTCAAATACATATAAAAGAAGTAGATTATAAAAAATGACTTTTAAGTCCGTAATGCAAACGAGTTGAACCTAATAAGATGAACTTAACGAATCGAACTGAGTTGCTCGTGAACTTATAGCGAGTCAAGTTTAAGCTTAAAAAATAATTCGTATCAAACTCGAATCGAAATTTGAACTAAACAAATTTTTAACGAATCGAGTTGAGACTCGGCTCATTGACAATGTTTATTTTATTTAATAAACCGTTTAATATTAATATATAATTTCAAATTAATTTAAATAAAGAAAAAAGTTATTATACATAAAACCGGAATTTTAATGTTAAGATAATGGTGGAAAATATTTATTATTAATTTTATAAGAATTTGATGGATTGTTTTGAACTACATACTACTCTGCACTAAGTTATAAGAAAAAACTAATATGTCATGTTTATTAAAAAAAATTATTTTTTATTTAGGTATTTAAATTTTTTTTATTTATAAAAAGATGTATAAGTAATTTCAATTGGTTGTTGTTTATGGAAAAAATGAGAATAAATTAAATAAAATATAGTTTGCACCTAAGATGAACTTTTTAGAATAAAATAATAAAATAAAATAAAGTTGGTAAATTTTGTTTATAATTTATAAAAAAAATAAATATTTTTTGCTTATAAATTTGTAACAATAAAATGAATGTTTGTTTATAATGTAACTTGTAACAATAATAAATGAATGGTCAAATTTAAAATAATCACTTCCATATCATCTCAACCAAGATACTAAATCCATTTTTTTAAAAAATTAATGTGTGATTAAACATAGAATACATAAATATATATATATATATATATATATATATATATATATATATATATATATATATATATATATATATATATATATATATATATATATATATATATATATATATATATATATATATATATATATATATATATATATATATATATATATATATATATATATATATATATATATATATGCTATGTTTAGTCACATTAATTTAAAAGGAGTGGATTTAGATAACTCGATTTCGATTTTTACAATAAAACTTATTATTTAAATTATATATATATATATATATATATATATATATATATATATATATATATATATATATATATATATATATATATATATATATATATATAGTAATAAATTAAATATAAAAAATACATTTTACTTTAAAAATTATAAATTAACCTTAAAAAAATATTTGTACTTAATTAAATCATACCGATTAGGTCTATGTAGTTTTCTTTGATAGGTGAATGTACCTTTCACTTTTCTTTGTAAATTCAATTTATAAATATTTTTCAAAATTTTCTCTTCAATTTTTCTATTAAAAAAAAAACAAAAGAAACTTCAAATACAAACCACACAAGAGTCAAAAGAAGTCACTATCCCATTTTGGTAGATTTTTAGTTTCCTTCCATAAATTTCAATTTCATTCATCAACCTCAAATTTTTGTTTCTTTATACACCCACCATTTTTTCTTTCTTACCTTCTCCCTCTGTAATTCTCTTCACTATTTACTCTCACACACTTGTGTTCTTTCTGTCTCTACTGTAAATATCATTTTCCACCCTTTTCAAAAATATCTCTCTTTCTCTCTCTCTGCTTAAACCTCAATTCTCTTATTCTCATTCTTCACTCTCCATTTCCATTCAACTTCACTCTTCAAACTTCAAACCCCACTTCTTAAAATTCCCAAATTTTCAATCTTTTCTCCTGATGTATACTTTTCTACCTAGTTTAGTTTGAAAATAGTGGTGGGGTTTTCGGTTTTCTCAATTTGTCGAAATAAAAACTGTTTTTTTAATCTTTTTTGTTTTTTCTTTGGGGTTGCAGATTCAAGAAGGGGGTGTGAGGTAATTTTTTTCCCTTTCCAGATCTTCATTTCCCTTTTTGTGTTTATGTATTCTGGTGGTTCTATGTTGTCTTGTAGCTTAAAAAGTTTGTTCCTTTGAAGGAAATTTTGAATTGGTCAATCAAGTTTTAGTTCTCATCTCTTCATTATCAATTTAGATCTGGTTTGTTTCAAATTTTGTTTTATCTACTTGCTTTATTTATTTATTTTTTATCAAAAGTTTTTGTTTTTTTACTTGAGATTCAAAAGGGTTGTTTTTGTTTATCTGATTTCAATGGAGGTAATTAGTATTCATTTTACATGCTTATTTAACTGCATAGGAAACTTCATTGTCTTTATCATAGGAGAATCTGTCTTCTGTAGAGTGAAGAACATAGTATTTCTGTAATTTTTAATGATATGGAACATACTTATTGAATCGGTACGGTTTACGGTTCTCTCATTGTTTTTGTTGTTACAGATTCAACTTGTTTATACATGGTGGTGTCTTAGACATATATGTTCAACCAATATTGAATTCAGAGGAAGTTAGTGGTTACTCGAAATTCTCAAATGACATGCAGTCAACCTTCTTTCTGCTGAAATGAAGAACTTGCAGGTTTTCGGTCATTGATTCTGTTGTGTTTTCGATATTACAGAATGTTTCCTTACTTTCAACGCTTACGGTGATGCAAACTCTGATTATCTAGATCTGTTTCTCAACATTTTCACCGATTACAATTTTATAACTAATTTAGATACAACTTTTATGGATTTGTAGAGCACAGAAGAATTACAGTCATCAGCTCAAGCTTCTCATGAGCCCAAGATTGAACCGCCTAACAATCACGCAACAGATGCTCCTGTTGCAGACTCAGGCTCAGCATCTGCTTCAAGCAATGATAGCAAAAAGGTTTCGCGGCAGGATATTGAGCTTGTAAGAATATCGTAGTTATATGTTTAAACACTTGACTAGTTTTCTATAATTGTCGACTTTTCGTTTACTTCATTTGTCTTGTGGATTGAATAACTTGATCTGTTTCTTTGCCCTTTGGTTTATTCGAAAAAACTTTTGTAGGTCCAAAATTTAATAGAACGGTGCCTGCAATTATATATGAATAAAGATGAAGTGGTTAAAACACTACTGACTCGGGCAAAGATAGATCCCGGATTTACAACTCTCGGTAGGCATCTTTAGCTCTCTCTGTCATGTCATTTATATGTTGCATTCCAATTAAAAAGTATTTATCTATTTCTTATGTTATTGAAAAACATTAATATGTTTAGGCCCCGTTTGAATGAATAGTTTAATTAAGTACTTATAAGTTATAACATAAATGCTTATCATATAAGTGTTTATGTATAAACTATTTATGATTTATCGTGTCTTATTTAAATAAAACGGGTTTATCCATAAGTTGTTTACATGGCAATCAACATAACTTGATAGTTGAGACATATTGATCTTAATACCATACATAGCTTTGCATTCTCATAATTTCCTTTTAAATTGGATACAAATTTGTGTTGCATTGCTTTGTAATTGTTGCTTTTATTAATCCAGTGTGGCAGAAGTTGGAAGAAGAGAATGCTGATTTCTTCAGAGCCTATTATGTTAGACTAAAATTGAAAAAGCAGATACTTTTATTCAATCATTTACTTGAGCATCAATATCATCTAATGAAGTGTCCCATGCCTCCAAAGGTTCCATTGGCTCCAATACAAAATGGAATCCATCCTATGCCTGGTAAATTCTTACCCCTCTCATCGTGTATAATGTATAGATTGAGGTTCTTTAAAACGACGAAGGCTTGCTAACATATAATATCATTGAAATATATTGAGTTTCTATCGAGAAGAGGTCAGTAATTTTTAGGCCATGTTTGGATTAACAAAATTTTAGAATGTGTGGGTTAGACATAACTCTTTCTTTCAAAATTGATTCGTAAGGTGAGGATTAACCCTATAGCGTGAATATAAATGTGGGACTCTTCAACACCCCCCTCATACTCTGGACTGGTCATCTATAGCGTGAATATAAATAGTAGGTGGTCCGATAGTGGAAATCTGATAGTAAATAGTCAAACAGATATTAAATTGGCTTTGATATCATCTTAAAATTTGTGGGTTGGGTTTAACTCATCCCTATAAAACCAACTTGTAAGATGAGGATTGTCTCACTTGTAAACATATATGAAGGTCATATCCTTTTCAATGCGAGACTCTTCGACACAACTTAACTAAATGCCAATAGCATAAACATTAATATGTATAAGCTATTTCCTTAACAAAAGATAGAGTAAAGTCAAAGTAATTTTCATATAAGTTGTTTTTATGAACGAGCGTGGGTAAAGAAATTAGTTCATGGGATTTGTTTTGGATCATGATATTAGGTGCGCTTACAGGAAAATCTATGGTAACAGTGGATCCTATGGTTAGGAGTAGGGATGGCAAAATTGACCCGACCCGCCACACATGCTTGTTTTTCCCGCACTTTATGTGTGACAAGGCAATGTTTTAGGCCCGCGCTCTTTAATATGTCTGCCACGCCATGCTCTATTTTTTGTGGGCTTTTATGGAGGCAGGCATTAACATATATTTTTGCAATTTTTACACTTTAGAAGTGCAGTGCCTGTGGGTCTGCCCTGTTTATTTGTTTGTTTGTTTATTTATTTATTTTTTTTCGTGGTAAGACAAAGTTTTAGGGCTGTCCTATCCTGCCCCGTCTTTTATGGATTTTTGTAGTGCGGGCCTAAAAGAAACTAATTGGAGTAATGTGAAGTTCATGTGCCTACAAGAAACTAATTGGACAGGTGAAAAGGCGAAAGAATTAGATAACTCGGAATTTAAGCTTTGGTCGTTAGAAAAGTTAGACCGAGAAATGAGACGGGGATTATTGTGGACAAGGAGCGGAAGAATATTTAGGATGTTGAAAGAGTTGGAGATTGAATCTTAACCTTGAAATTTATAGTGGAACAAGACATCTTTAATGTTACTAGTGCTTACGCACTTTTGGTTGGGTTAGCAAAACACCTTAAGATAAAATTTTGGGAGGATTTAGAAGACTTACTTTAGAGTATACCCCAAGGAGAGGAGTTTTTTCTAGGAAGAGATCTAAATGGACATGTAGGGAGCGTATCAAGATGTTTTTAGGGTGTGCATGAGAGAAATGGTCTCAGGAAGGTAAATGCGGAGGGTAAATCCATCTTGGAGTTTTCGTCGGCTTTTGATCTTGCTATCGCTAATTCCTGGTTTAGGAAAAGAGATGAGCATGTTATCCCATATAAGAGTGGAGTGACGTGTTCTCAAATAGATTTCTTTCTTATTAGAAAGTCAGATAAGGAAGTTTTGCTTGGACTGTAAAGTTATTCTGGGAGAGAGTTTGACTACCCAACATAGAGTATTGGTCATGGATGTAAAAATCAAGAGATGAGAGTAAAGAGAAGAAGTCACATGAGAGCGCAACAAATCAAGTGGTGGCATTTGAAGGGTGAAAAATAAGGACGTTTCAAACACAAGATCTTGGAAGGAGGGTTTGGACAACCACATGGTGATATGTGGAATAAAATGACCCAAAAGATTAGAAATGTAGTTAAAGAGATGTTGGGAAGAATCAAGAGCTTTTGGACCTATGGGTAAAGAAATATGGTGGTGGAATAAAAGTGTTAAGAGTAAGGTTAGAGTAAAAAAGTTTTAAATAATAGTCTAGGTGTAAAAATGATGAAACTTGAGAAAATTATAATAAAGCTATGAATGAAACTAATAAGGCGGTGATTGAAGAAAGAAACCAAGCCTTTGACGAATTTTACCAATTTTTAGGAACAAAGGAGGGAGGAATATCTATATATAGGGCCCGTTTGTTTTGACTTTATTTAAAAATGATTTTTATAGTGTAATTATTTTAGTGTAAAAAATTTTACAAAGAAACTTTTCATAAAAGTTTCAAATGAAAATTTTGTTTGAATAATTATTCTTAAAATGTTATTTTATTTATTTCATCATTTTATCGAAATTTTTTTTGGATATCAAAATTTCAAAAAAATCAATTAATTTTGAAGCTATTTCAAATAACTTTTTATAAATATCATTTTTGAGATACAACTTTTTGAAAAGACTATGATTTTTTCTATGTTTTGATCTTCAATAATGTATATTTATGTTACAATATGTCAAAATTAGTCTTTTAATTTATAAAAAACAAATTTAAAAAAATTTGTAATATTTTGAAAAATGTTTTTGTAGAATCCATTTTAAAAAATACAAAGAAAAAAATCCATTTTTTTAAAGCTAAAACAACCTGGCCCATAGGCTTGCTAATGAAAGAGAAAGAACGACGAGAGATTTGGATCAAGTGAAGTGTGTTAAATATGAAAAAGGTAAAGTCTTTGGTCATGAAAAGTATATAAAGGATAGATAAAAACGTATTTCTACAATTTATTTAATGAAGGATATGATATCTCATCAATCTCTAGCAGGCTCGACATTAGAGAAGAGGATTGAAACTTTAATTACTATTGTTAGATTCAGAAACAAGAGGTAAAAGAAGCGTCGAAAAGGACAAGTAACAGTAAGGCGGTTGAGCCAAACATCAAGCCTATTAAAGTGAGAAATTTTTTTGGAGATAGAGACATTGAGTGGCTCACCAAATTTTTGGAGATAAAGACGTTGAGTGGCTCACCAAATTCTTTAACTAAATTATGAGGTCAAAGCAAATGTCGGATGAATAAAGAAGAACACTTTAGTTCCAAACTATAAGAACAAGGAGGATATGCAAAATTGTGCAAATTATTGAGGGATTAAACTTATGAGTCATACCACGAGGTTATGAGAAAAAGTGATTAAATGGAGAATAACAAAAGAGACTCAAGTCACTAAGAATCAATTTGGTTTTATGCTTGAGAGATCGACTATGGAAGCGATCTATCTACTACGACGTGTGATGGAGTAGTATCGAATGAACCAACAAGACTTAATTTTTATTGACTTGAAAAAGGGGTATGATAGAGTGGCTAAAGAGATTTTGTGAAAAACTCTAGAAAAGAAAAAGGATCAGGATTGAATATACCAAGGTTAAAGGGGTAGTAAGGAGTATCAATTAGTTTGCGGACACAGGGTGAAGAGACAGATGATTTCTCCATTACAATAGGTTTACACCAAGGTTCAATCCTAAGCCCATACCTTTTTACTTTTATTTTGGATGTACTCATGGAACACATCCAAGAGGTAGCACCGAGATGCATGCTTTTTGCAGATGATATTGTTCTACTTGGAGACAAGCTTTAGAAAAGTATGACTTTTGTCTAAGAAGTAGGATGAAATATATGGAATGTAACCTAGAGGTGAAAGTTGGAGATCACATCATCCCACAAGTCACGCGGTTTAAATATCTTGGGTCTGTAATACAAATTGATGGAGAAATAGAAGGGGATGTAAACCATTAAATTCACGTTGAGTGGCTAAAATGGAGGAGGGTTTCAGAGGTTTTATGTGACACAAAGATACCGCTCAAGATGAAAGGAAAGATCTGTGTTGTATGAGATAAAATGTTAGGCGATTTATAATCAACACAAAAATAAAGTAAATGTAGCAGAGATGAGAGTTTTGTGTTGAATGCGTGGTAAGACTAGATAGGATAAAATTGGATATGACAATATTAGAGAGTGTTGGGGTTGCACCTATAGTAGAAAAGATGGTGGAAAATGGACTTAGGTGGTTTTAACATGTAAAGAGAAGACCTGTAAATTATGTGGTAAGGAGAGTAGATTAGATGAAAAGAAGTAAAACAACTAGAAATAGAGAAAGACCTAAAAAAACTACAAGAAAAGTTATTAAGAAGGGTCTTGAGATTATCGATTTAAATAAAAGCATAGTTCTGGATATAACATAATGACAATTCAAATAGAGATATTCTAAGAAGTTGGAATTACACATCTTCTAATCTTTTATAATTTATGGAGTCGAGGGCCACTATGCATGTCAATCTCCATCCACCTTTCACTATTTTGTAAAGAAGTGAGTTCTCTTACCTGCACATTGTGAACATCAATATTTTCACTCAGAAAAATTATGAATGAGTGAAAATATTTCAACTACTTCCAATTCATCTATGAAACCATGCACAATTGATGTCCCTATTCAAAGTGTTATCCAATAATACACATTATTGCAATTGTGGAATCCAATAATACATAATATTGCAGTTGTGGAAACTTCTTGATTATATGAAAGTGAACTAATCAGTAATCTAATATTGTTTTAAAACTTCTCCATTATTCTTTAACACCATTATTTGCAGTGCAGTCAACAATCTACCTATGGGATATCCAGTGCTACAACAGCATCCTATGCCAGCAGCAGGTCAACCTCATATAGACTCCATGGGTATATCAAGTTGTCACGTCGTTAACGGAGTCCCTGCACCGAGCAATTTTCACCCTATTCGAATGAATTCTGGGAACGAGTGAGTACTTAGCACAACTCATTCCAATTACATATGATTCGTTTATTTTATTCATACATCAGACAGTATTATTTGTTTATTTGGACGGCATTTGTTGTTGTTGAAGTATGGTGATGGACCACAGCGTGCCTGATATGGCTCCTATGATTCAACAAAACGGCACAATGTCGTCCGTCTCAGAAATGCCAGTGAGTCCGACATCAGTAGCATCAAGTGGTCATTTCCCCTTCACCGCATCTGAGATATCAGGAATGGGCACAGATGCATCAGCTCTTGATTCAGCATTTACATCCGATGTGGTAAGTTCAGTAGGATTACAGCTGGCACAAGACGGCGGAAACGGAATTTCTCGATCGCTGGATCAAATTCAATGGAATTTTAGCCTATCAGATTTAACCGCAGATTTGCCAAACTTGGGAGGTAATTTCATATCAAGATCTTCTTTTAGACATATAGTTAAATTCGCCAGATACTTACACCTGTCTTTGCAGATCTAGGAGCTTTGGGAAACTATCCGGGATCGCCATTTTTGCCATCTGATTCAGACATGTTGCTCGAATCTCCGGATCAACAGGATATAGGTAGTTCTAAACCGCCATGTTTGGATAAACAAGTTAATTATTAAGCGATTATGAAAAAAATAATACTCACAATGTATCTTTTGTTGTTAATTTCAGTGGATGACTTCTTTGTTAATTCTGAGCCTCCATGCTCTCAATCAGATGAGGAGAAATCATAATCATAATGTTAAGAGAAGACAAGTTGTTTGTTCTACATTAATTGATAGATTAGGGAGACAAATTAGGATTAATAAATGTCATTTAGGTTACTTGGCATACAAGTGTAGACAGAGCCTTGTCTTAATTACATAAATGTAGTTGTAATGTTTTGCATTCTTATGGGAGAGAGAAAGGTGGGGACATTGTAATTCATTTCATGCATTTGGTTATATATAGTTGTTTGGATCATTGTCACTCTGGTAAATTTCATGGTAAATGCTTAAGGATTATGATTTTACACACTTCAATTTTGTGGTGAATATTACCCTCTTTTAGATTGTTATGGATATGTATGATATATGTATGTATCTTGGATCGTTAGCTATTTTGATAGGTAGTGGATCTGAAAGTCTTTGAAACCAAACAAATTTGAAATTTTTCTTATTGGGAATTTTTTTGAGGTTGTTAAACCAAAGTTGATTTAAAAAACAATATTCTCTAATTTTTATTTTGATGATAATGTGATATAAGATAACAATTTTATTCTCTAATGGGTGTTATATGTAATATTTTAAAAATTGGATTGAAGATCGAATGAAACATTTTGTTTAAAGTTTAATTGGTTCACCCAGTTAAATTTACGACTGAGGTGTTTATTAAACAAATTAATAATAGACAAAAGTATATTGTGTCATTTAAGTTATTTTATTGTAATAAGACAGTCTTTTATGTTTTTTTTTTGCTACAAGTTGATCATTTATGTTAAATAATGTGTTCACCGTTGACTATTTTCACAAACTCCGTTTCAGAAAAGTTTCTGTGGCACTAATGATGCTGATGTGTTATTTAAGAAGACGACGAAGAACATGTTGAAGATACTAGTCTGTCATAATATTGTTAGTTTTGATTTTTGTAGTGTTGATCTGTATTTTGGTTTGGGTGATCATTGTTAATTTTGATGTTAGCGTTGTAAGACATAACTTTTGGTACCTTCATGTAACACTTGTCATAAGACATGACTTTTGGTACCTTTACGTAACACTTGTTGCCATTTTATATCAGTTTTGTTACAGTAAAATCGTAATTTGTACAACTGACAAAACTTGAAGAACTTGGTTGTTACAATTTAAAAACAACTTGAAGGACCTGGTTGTTTCAATTTCAAAATAAATGAGATTTGTTTGTAGCGAAAAAAAACATAAATAACTGTCTTGTTAAAAGAAACACTTAAAGAGACTGAGTGTGTGTGTGTGTGTGTGTATATATATATATATATATATATATATATATATATATATATATATATATATATATATATATATATATATATATATATATATATATATATATATATATATATATATATATATATATATATATATATATATATATATATATATATATATATATATATATATATATATATATATATATATATATATATATATATATATATATATATATATATATATATATATATATATATATATATATATATATATATATATATATATATATATATATATATATATATATATATATATATATATATATATATATATATATATATATAAGTGGGGATCAACTTATTCTAAGATTAATTTTTTTTAACTTACTCCACATCATGGCCCTTAATTTGAATCTAATATAATAGTTAAATTAGCATTTTTACTTATAACGATTCGATTAAATCTAATTTAAATGTTATGATTGTGGAGTAAGTTATAAAAACTTACTCTTGGAGTAAGTGGATTCTCATCAGAGCCGTCTCAATTTTTGTAGGGGCCCTTTGTAGATTAGTCATGGTTTAATCATGAAAAGATAAATAGGGTACATATCTAACCACTTGTTAATTATTATAAACATTTTATGAAGCCCTATTTAGCCACGAGTTAACTGTGACAAATTTGAGACCTTGTGCGGTAGCCCACCCTGCACGCCCTCAAAGACGACTCTGACTAGATTAAATTCAATTTAAAAGTTATGACGTGGAGTAAGTTAAAAGACTTACTCTTGCAGTAAGTTGATTCCCACTCATATATATATATATATATATATATATATATATATATATATATATATATATATATATATATATATATATATATATATATATATATATATATATATATATATATATATATATATATATATATATATATATATATATATATATATATATATATATATATATATATATATATATATATATATATATATATCACATAGATCACATGGTTAACAACTTAATAAAATAAAATCCATTACAAATTTAATACATTAATATCAATCAATAGTATATATAATAATACAATATAGTTATACACTTAATTTCAACTTTCATTTAATAATAATTTGAATAAATTAAAGAATTACAATAATATACGTAAATCTAATTCAAACTAAAATTAAAATAATAAAACATAATAACTAAAATAAAATTTAAATAATTACGAAAAATATCTAAATTAAATAAGATAGAATTATAAAAAAAAACAATATAACATACTTAATTTAAATTCAAGTTGAACGATGACAAATGAGTTATAATTGACAACAAAAAACAACATTGACTTGAACAACAATCAACATTAAGCTAAATTGCAATACTATATTTGAAAGAGATGGCGTGATGATGATGAAACGTGGTTGAAAGAAAAATTATAACGGAGAACTTAAAAATTTGTATGGTTGTAAAAAAATAAAAGATTTTTTTATTGAGTAATGCTAATTTGTGCCCTTGTTAGTCCCAAGGGCACAAGTTAAAAAAAAAATCATAAATAGTAAATTTGTATCGAAAAAAACAATAAAATTATTAATTATAAAATTGTATTAAATTTATTACACAATTTTCAAAAAAAATATATTATATTTATCTCTTAATTTGTGTCTTTTGGACACAAATTGACATTACCTTTTTTTAATTAAAAATATTTTAATTTTTAATATTAACATTTTTTATTATTATTTTATTTAAAAAATAACTAATTTTATACATTTTTTGAATCAAAATTTTTAAAACAATTTCGGTTCGACGGTTTTGTTCGGTTGAATTAAGTTTTTCTGGTTTTACTCATGAAACTGTCAAATCAAGAAAACTTTATGTATTTTCAAATTCTCTTAGAATTAATTAAAAGACTTGAATAAAACAACATCGTTTTGAGAATCATTTTCGAGAAACAAAGGTAAAGAAAAGAACTTTCAAAAACATACATCTAGGAAAATTTTCTACACTACTCTAAAAGAAAGAAACTACTCAAAGCAGTGATTTCATTCAACACACACATTTTCTATTGAAAGCACAAACACTTACATTTTTTAGTGATATTTCTAAACACAAATAATTATATTTAATTTGATTTTATTTTCTCAATGGGTTAATTTGTAGACAAATTCTTTAAAAATACAAAGGAAATAAATTGTATTTTGTTCTTTGTGATTGAGAAATCAAAAGTATAAGTCAGTTGTTTTAATAAAATTGTAATCAGTTTGATTATATATCCAAAAAATTTTAAAAAAATTGTTTTTGTTTTGAAGACTAAAAAAATAATTCGTTAAAAAAACAAACACCTCAAAGATTAAGTGAATGTAACTCTAAAAAATATGAAGATGATTTTCAATAATTCCTAGTCAACAACATAGATAGAAGAAAAATAACTTCAATGATATATGGTATAATTAGGAACAACAAGAAAGGTGTATGGCATGTTAGTGATCTAGTGATTAAATCTCATGAACCTACAACTTTGTGATACTATTATTTTAAAGATGACCACAACCAAAGAACTTATTGTGAAACCATGTACATGCAAAAATAATCAAGAAAGTAATTTAAGATGATGAAATCAAGGGATAAAAAGACTTAAGAAGCTACTGCTTATCCTTAATGATTTTGATGGTGATAACACCTGAAATAGTAACAACACTTGAAATGGTTTTGATGACAACAATGCCTAAAGTCAAACATCTACTAAAATTAGCACATGCAGTCAAAGATTCACAAGGTGATTGTTCAAGCTATCCTTTCAAATCAATCCAAAGTGAGCTTTAAGTAAAGAATTATGGTTAATGATCATTGATGAAGATGGTAATTAACTTGAAGATATCTCAAGTCTCATCTAATAGAAGAATAAAGTAAAGTGCTTATATGATTGGTATATCTGACAGAGAATTTGAAGGTTCAAAGTGTGAAAGAGATGAAATGTGAAATCTCACCCGATCATATTTGCTAGAGTGATCCGTGTATTATAAAAATACAAGGATATTTTCACAAGTATTACATCTAACACACACACACACATAGTGCACACAGAAACACACACACCCACACACACATACACACTCATCACACACACAGATACGTGCACACATAAACACACACACACACACACACGCTCGTATGCACGCACACACACATGCATACTTAAAATATAGAGAGGTGTCTCAGTTTTTAATTAAAACAACCATAAGATAATTTAGAGTCTAGCCAGTTGAGTTAGACAATGTCAAATTGATTAGGGGAAGTTTTTAAACTTCTAATTGATTAGAACAAAGATCTAATCATTTAGATAAGGAAGAATTAAGTCCATAATCGATTACGACATCTTCTTAATGATTGTTAATGACTCTCTACTTAAACCTTCCAGTGTGGGAAGCAATAATCGATTAGGACAATTAAAAGGCCCGTGATTTTTTTTTTTCCATTTTTACACCATCTCTTGAAAACCTTATTTTCTCCCTCATGAGTCATGATATTTATCTCAACAAATATGAACTTTAGAAAAAGAAAAAACCTACTGCTTCTAAGTTTAAGAGAAAGAAGGCCAAGACTAAAGCTCTAGAAACTAAAGAATCATATGATGCAGACTTTGAAGAGTTTAATGAAGCTCTAGAGGTTCATGGAGCGATTGATAAATATAAAAGTATTAAAAAGATCTATGATAAACCATTAGAACATCTATAAATTCTTTAAAAAGTTATTTTTGTTTTGAAAACTAAAAAAATAATTCGCTAAAAAAAC